AATAAAACTGCATATTTTAAATAATTTTATACCTTTAATGAAATTTCCGTCCCTCGACCCCAAACTGTTTTAATTTCTCCAATATGTTATATTTATATATTTTGAACATCCTTGGCACTTAGCCGCAGGCACTAATATCTTGGTTACGTTTGCTATTTATCCTGTTTTACTTACTAACTAATCTTCTGAAATTTGATATTCTCTGTAATATTTTATATTATTATGCCATAAGCATTTCAACATCCAGGCGGTTTTTGAGCCTTTCCGATAAATTTTATAAACCCGAAAGTATACCACGCCATAGGAGGCATCTAAAAAATAATTTTTCTCAATCAAAATATTTGTACTTTCTTCCGCGAAAATGAACTTTATTGTAATGTAAATTTAACACCACGAGCGAGAAGTTAAAAGCAATTAGCCTATCGGTTCATTAATAAATATTTAATGTATCGACCAAGAACTGAATGTATCGACCAAGAACTGAATGTATCGACCAAGAACTGAATGTTTAACCTGACAGATTCACGAGACAATCGGTCTCATTTTTGAATGGCATTTAAGGATATCCATAAAGCTGTTACCAATTTCTACGCCATATTGAGAAAACCTGGAATTAAATCGCCAAAGACGTAAAACATCTTAATGGACGTAAGCACTTTCTAGAGTAGGAAGTAACACGTATATACATATACAGAAAGTGTCAAAAGAAGAAGTCTTATAAGTTTAGAACGGAATGAATAGTAAGAGAAAAAGTCGACCAAAGTCTAATGGCATTTTTAAATCCGTTAAGGAAGAAATCTATTGAGATAAYTTTCTTTTAAGAATTACTCACGTCAAAACACTGAGCATCATAAACCAGGGACCGCGGATACGGGAACTGGTGGCTATAAATTTTTTTTCCTCTTTTCCCATATTAGTCTTTTATATTTTCCAATCTTTATATTTTCCAATCTTAGCCCCCCCCCCCCCCCATACTAGTTTGAGATAATTTTCTTTTAAGAATTACTCACGTC